ATTGTGGCAACAACAAGCAATAGTCGCAGAAGATGGTTGAGATGGTGTCGAGGGAAACAAAAAGAGCAGGCAGTGGTGGCAGTAATGTTTGTAGCAGGTGCAATTGTAGTAGGAGGTTGCATGGAAGGCAGCAGGAGTAGTAGGTGATGAGGGAAATGGGTTTAGAAGGTTGTAATGTAGGGGACGACAAGAGGAGCCGGAGGTGGTGGTTGTGGTGGCAATCGGTGTAGCAGGCAAATAGGGGAATAACATAAGTTGCAGTAGGCGTAGACACCAAGGACAGCAGCAGGAGTGGGCGAAGATAGTTGCTGGTGCAACAAGCAGCGGCGTCGAGGCTAGGTAGCGGAGTAGGCGGGGGAGACGCTGTAGCAGAAGCAACAGGATGCAGTGGAAGCAACAAATGGTTGTACGATGGTGGCGGTTGTAGTAGAAGCTGGTTGTGGCAACATCAACGTTGGCATTGGCGACTCCAGCCTGTGTAGCAGTCAACAAGGTTAAGAGGTGTAGGCTGAGTGTGTGAAGGAGTGAGGAGATCTTCCAGGAGAGTATTGTGGCTAGTGTGGTTTGAATGAAGCGTATAATACTTAAATTATACCTAATTACAAACTTGAAGGCTCACGCCTCAAGGAAACTGAGGCGAAACGCGCCTCATAGAACTAAAGGAATATGCAACACACAAATTGCTCATGGCATATACCTTAAAGCAGAAGATTTCGCGATTGCGTTGATTTGTGCTTCTAATTGTGTAATTTTAATTTCTACATCCCTTTGATATTGTTATTTTTGTTACCACAATTATCTTAACATTTTTTTTTTTTCACACCACACTCAACGTGCTATTAATGAGTGCTATTAATGATTTTTTATTGCGTAACATTTGAACCAATGCAACTAAATTGATTTAGTTGTATTTTTATAAAATTCACCCTTAAGTCTTCATGACATTTTCTTCTTTTGCATGTTTGTAGGCACTTATCCACTTTGATTATTTTGGCTTAACTTTGGTTAATAAATTCAAAAAATTTAACTCTATTATGCTTCGTTGTCACTTTATCTTCATGTAATATAGATTAATAATTATTAATATCACACTAATATTTATATATTTTAACTTTGTTTTACTATTCCTTAGCTCTTTGTCCTTTAAATATTTTTTTCATTGTTTTAATCTACACATTTTTAAGAGAAAAAATTGCACCAAAGCATCCCATTTTGAATATCTTTTATTAGAAATTAATATAATTTTTGCTTTTCATTATTATCACCAATGATAATTTGGAATTTTATTCATCACTTCTTTTTTAATTAATGAATCATTAACTATTGGATATCATAATTTGATATATTGTTTTATGTAATCAAGATTGATCATCAATATGTGTGAAAGAACCCGTGTTGCATTGGTCAAGATAGAATGTCGTTTTTAAGGTAATGGGTTCAAGCCATATACTTTGTGATTTATTTCTTACCCTTCCCAAAATAAAATTTTATAATATCATCGGATAGTTAATTAATAGTATAAATTGTAAATTGATTTTAAATTAGTCAATTTTCACTATCCAAACTAATAATATTTTGTAGTTTTGTTGGTGTCTTCTTATGCAACTTAGGCTATAGTTTTGTAAGCTGATTAATTCTTATAAATTTATCAAAATAAAATAATTGAGTAAATTATAATTTAACATGTATTTAATTGGGTTAATTATCTGTATCTTTTATGTTGATAATCAATGTTATACTTACATCCTGTGGATTTTATGAAGGTATTCTTACTTCCTTTATTGTTAGATATAATCATGCATGCAAGCCCGAACTATTTTCTAAAAGTACACTGAACTCTTTATTATTATTATTATTTTAAGGTAACACTAAACTCTTCTGTGGATATTACAATGCATGTTAACTCCAATCAATTAATTAATAGATTCTGAATCGAGAGGTTAGCATAATTTGAGAGAGTAGATATTAGTTTCTTAATTGCTACTAACTAAGAAAAATATCATTACTTACTGTATATCTGTCTAAATAATTCTTTTATAATCCTGTAACATTCTTTGCTGTTGAACAATTATTGGTTGTTTAAATTTTTGTTTGCTTAAGCAGTGTATAATTATATAAGTTTAATTGTATATTTGATGGAATACTAAACCAAGTCAGGTTTCTTGTTTACTTAAATTTCAATAAACAATTTCTATAATAAAACCAACTCTTTTCTATCTATCCATCTATTTATCTATATATCTATCTATCTAATATATATATATAGACACACACACACACACTTTTCTTTTATGAAGGTAATCGGTATTTGGCAGAGGCCCAAATACCGATTTCTCACGTGCTAGGCTCTATGATGAGAAGCCCACGCTATGTGCTATTATTCGAGAACCCTGAGCCACGAGGGATCAAACCCTTGAGCTGAGGGGACTTATAGTGACCCCGCCACCAACTGACCAAGACTTGTGCGCGCGCGCACACAAATATATATATATATATATATATATGGTTGGCTTTATTAGGGTTTTGCTTGATGAAGATTCCCTGAATTGATCTTTCGGCTTTCCTGTCGTGCTCGACGAAGAATTCTGTGTTCGTCAATCTCTCCTGTGATGGTTGACTCTTCCTACGCGCCGTCATCACGTCTTGCTCTTCCTTCGCGTTATCCAGCTTCTGCATGGTCGTCGAGCTGCGACTGACTTCCAGGTCATCTCGTCGTCGTTGTCTCGTCTCGCTCTCCTTCGCGCTAGCTTCTGCATGGTCATCGAGCTGCGAGCCGCGTCGAGCTGAGTTCCAGGTCGTCTCGTCGTGGTCATCTCCTCTCGCTTTAGTTCGCTACAACTGTTCTGCGACCTGCCTCGTCGAGCTGCGACTGTTCCGCGGCTTCGAAAACTGTAATTTTTTGCCCCGACCTCTTTGGCTCGCTATTTTTGCCGCTGCCCGACTTTGGCAGGGCTTCTCTTTGCTGTGATGGAGCTTCCTTCGTCAACGGCTGAACCTGGCAAAACCCCCTTTGCCCATGTGGTGGGTAATCCTTAGAGGGAGACGTTAGTTATCTTCCCCTCAAGTTATAAGGAGCTACGAGATAGTACATGTGATTGCCCTTTTATCAAGATTGTAAGCAGGAAAAGTGAGAAACAACACTTTTTTTCTCTGAACTAGAAATTTCACCCATGACCGATAAATTCAAGTTTGCTTTTATTGGAAAATTTCATTGGGGACACCAACCTGTGGATGTTATCAGGAAAAGTTTTGATGATCTCAAATTAGCAGGAAAGTGGAAAGTGAGGTTCATGGATGAGAGACACGTATTAATTCAACTAACTGTGTCTGAAGAATACACTGAGATTTTTTCAAAAAAAAATCTCAACATTGCTGTTAAACCAATGAAGCTACTCAAGTGGTCTCCTGATTTTGACGACTGTACCAGTATGATTTACTCTACCTGGTCTCAAGCTGTGTTTTTTTCATCATCAGGTTATTTACTCTATTGGTGCTATACTTGGAGACCCTTTGAAGCTAAATCTACCCAGTATGATTTACTCTACCTGGTCTCAAGCTGTGCTTTTTTCATCATCAGGTTATTTACTCTATTGATGCTATACTTGGAGACCCTTTGAAGCTAAATCTACCCACTTTTAACCTAATCAGATCTTCTGTCGCCAGAATACTTGTTGAAAGAGATATTATTTTACCTGATGTTACTGAAGTCTGGTTGGACACAACTCATAATGAATATTAACAACAAATTGTTATGGAGCATAGACCTCCTTATTGTTCTCATTGTAAGTTGTTTGGGCACAACCTTGATAAATGCTATAAGCTTCACCCTAATTTGAAATCTAAAAATCAAGTGAATAAGAATGGATCTGACCCAATTGCTTTGGATATATCTGTTCCATTTGGAGAGAAAACTACCACAGAACAGGTTATGATGTCTGATTTAATCGCCCCTGTGGACCCTCCCCCTAAAAATACTATTTCTGCAATCGATGAGAAGCTGGATGGCCCTGCTGAGCAACCTACACTTTCAAACCCTATTTAAACCCTCCTCACTTGCAGGAAGCATCAGGTAAAGAGGAGACAATTCTTGCTTCACACACACTAGAACCTACATTCGTTGCAACAATTGACAATCCTTCTTCTGGTGCTCATCAACTTTTATCTTCCCGACGTTTTGTTTACGAACACGATGATCAGATGAGCCAGTCTTCTGAGGAATTATGACATGTCTATTCAAGGAGGAAGATGAAGATTGGAGGTAAACTTCAGCTCGGGAACCTAATGGAGGATTCTTTGGTTACTTCGGGAAATGACTCGACACTCAACAATTTGTTATCTGGATCTCCCCCTAGAACTAGAGGCAGAGACAGGACTAAACTGACTCTTCCTTAGCTACTTCTTTTCTGTGATTTTGGTATCTTTTCTCTTTTTGAGTTTCCCTGTATCTTTTCTCTTTTTGGGTGTTTGTGTGTGTTGTATCGTATGGGTAGGGTGCCTCTATTGGGCCTTCTCATACAACCTTTATGTATCTTTCCTATTTTAATATATTTAGCCCTTGGGCTTTTCAAAAAAAATATATATATATATATATATAGTTGGCTTTATTGTAATATTTGCTTAATATGCTAGAATAATCTTAAAGTGAATCTATGGTTTAATTTTTTAAGTATTAGAGTGAATGATAATCTTTATTAGACAAGCCATATGAGTTTCACCGATTTATGATTGTGCAATAAAAAAATATTTTAGCATTACAATTGAGGACAAATTCTTTTCTACCAAGGTTGAAAGAATTTAAGTGAAAAAATCAAGAAGGAAAAACGGTCCTACGGAAATAATGATTAGATTTTATGCCAATATTTTAGCATCTCATGTAGCACTCAGCAAAGAGGAGGATCTGCAAATAGTTAGATAAGGCTATGATGATGATGATTTTTTTTTCATTACTTAATAACTTCGACTCAGTCAAGTATCATTGATATTTTGAATTTCTTTTCCAGGTCAATGTGATACGTAAGACTACTGTGTTAGATGTTATGAGAAGACTTTTGCAAGTATTATTTCCTCCCTATTGAAAAATATATGAATTTTCTAAGTTTTTTAGTTTATTTTTGGCCTTAGCATATCTAAATATACTGATTTATTTGCATTTGGCAGACAAAGAATATCATGGTCTCTTCTTATGCAAGAACCAAAGAAGCCAGTCAAGCAAAATATATATCAATCTTAAACATTATTCAAGGAGAAGTGGATCCTACGCAGGTAAAAATTTTCATCAAAAACAGATTCAAGCATGTTCTTTTCTAGTACAGAACTCGATTTTCATTACTAATACACTGGAAAACTTCAATGCCATATAGTTTGAATATCGAGCTATTCAATATGCATGTTTAATCATATTGTGCCATCCTAGATGTTGCAAATCTTTTGCTTAATGAGATTACTCCATTATCTTATGCTTAAGCCTTGTTTTGATCACAGACACTGTTTCAAGGCTTCTTGTGTTAGTATTGTAACACAAACTTAAATATGGTCACGAACATGTCATTTGTTCAAAATCTTGCACTATTTTCTCACAAATCTCAATTGAAAAGGTGAAATATACAAGACAGCTTATATTGTTTGATAGCATTGATTTTTTCCTGTAGGGATGATTTGGTGGATCTCATAATACTAGCCGGCACTGTAGTGATTGAGAGCCCATGATCTTTATTAATGTTCTTACAGAACATATTCTTGTTTAGCGAAATTTTAAAATGTAATATTATCAAGAAAATCCATCTGTTTCGCTGTAATCAGCATGTGAGGCTCTCAAAGAAACTATATATGTAAGGGGAATTTTACCTTTTGTTACGCAATTATACTTGAGCTTATTCCTTAAAAAAATGGCTGAAGTCCATTGTGCTTTCCAAACTATTCTGACGTTCCATATCTGCTGTCCTTGTTTTTCTTTCCAGAAGGCAATTTTCTTAAGGTTGCTGTCATTTGATGCGGCCTGATCAGTGGCCTTATTTTATTTAACTTTCTAGTTGTGGTTCTTTCTTAAGGTTGCTATCATTTGATGCGGCCTGATCAGTAGTGGCCTTATTTTATTTAACTTTCTAGTTGTGGTTCTCTTTGTCCTCTATGCTGCATATATTAAACTACCATTTTTAAAGTAGAATGGAGTTGCTGCCCTGGTGGTAGCATGCTGGTCACTGCCCTGGTGGTAGCATGCCATGCAAAGAGTTGTGTTTCCTGCTTTCTTTTTTTCCTTATATCAGACCCATCCTCAGGAACCATATACACAGTAGAATAGTGCTCAAGCACAATCAATCCTCTCTCTCTTTCGTTTTCTCTCTCTCGCTCTCCATCTTGGAGAAAACTCTCGCTCTCTATCTAGGAGAGAAGATGAGAGAAAGAGAGATACCAGTTGAGGCAGGAGAGGAAGAGGGAGGCACAAGGAGATGAGGTTGCTTATGTCAAAACATCATCATCATCATGATCATTCTATACTTCAACTTCATAGCACCCTATTTGCAGGAAGAAACCCGATATATTAAGACTAAAATGAAACATAATACTATTCTAATAAATATTTCAAATGAATAAAAAAGTGTAAAAGCAGTTTAACTGGTTGACATAAATGATTATCCTGCATTAGTGATGCTTGTTTGTGCCAGTGAGGAAGAATGAGAGCAAGAGATATGAGGGATTCTGTGGTACTGTTCTAGGGCTCCTAGACAATATTTAGGAAGGGGATTTAATGGGGAAGTGGATGTGGATTAGCGAGGGAAAGAAAATATGAGGGTTGGCGGGCTTGGAAGGGATAAGAGGTGTTCTGTGGCTGAAATCTGTTGTTGGACAGCAGGTTGGCTTGATTTTGTGGGCTGTCCAGCTGAAAACAGTGGGCAAACGGCAAAATGACGAGGTGGTGGCCGCGATGCGGATGCACCACTTATTCCTGAGCAAGACAAATACATCACTTGCAAAGTAAATGATACAACACTTCAAAAAGCATAGAATAAAGCCTCCAAAATGCTAACTAATAGCAAAAGTCTCTCTATACAGTAGACAACCACGCATAAATAGGTCCCTAATTGAAGAACAATAATTAGAAATAACGAAATAGGAAAGAAATCAGAAAAAGGAAGAAAGGGAAAAAATTCAAAATATATGTTTTTTCTTTGTCGGAATTGTGGCTTCCTGTGATCCCTTGATTCTACAGATCGCAGAATTAACGCCTTATGTCATTCTCTTGGGCTAGGACAAGCTTATTCTTCATTATGGAAGGACCCGAATCTCACTATTTGTTGTTCTTTCCTACAAAATACCTAATGGGATTTTCAAAGCTATGGCTCACCACTTTTGTCCAGTCATCTGTCCGTGGGTGCACCGCAGAACTGAACTGAACTGAAACTTGTGCCTAATTTACCCAATAAAGCCTCCAAAAATAGTGAAGGAATTTCACATCTATCTATTGCAATGACATGTTGAACTCCTCTCAATAAGGGTTGCGCTATGTTTAGCATGGACTCATTGAGTTCATCACCTTTTTGGATCACAAATGTTAGTCTTATTGGCGCTTCTCTCAAGGCATGTAGAAAGATCATTCACATCACCACATCCTCAAACACGTTGGGGTTTTTCCAAGGCATGAATACAATGTATTTCCCATTCTTAGAATGTGTTTTTATGGCCATCATGATATATGCAATGATCATACCGTGAAGGACGACCGAAGAGGACGTAGCATGCATCCATAGTTAACATATCACACTAAATTTTTTTTGGGATTTGTCTCCGATAAAAAACTTTATGAGGCACCTCCTGTCAACTTTAATCTTACTCCTCTTCTTCAACCAAGTCAAGGAATATGAACGAGATTACTTATTAGTGAGAATCAATTTACACCAGTTGTGTAGATGTCATATTTTCCCAACTGCTTTCATTTATAATGAGATAACACCCTTTTCCCTTCACGGTGCAATGGGTACAATTGTGTTGTGAATATTATTGCTCTCACATGGGCTCGAGTTGAAGAACCCATCGGATTATAAGTATTTTTCTCTCGTCCGCGGGTAGTTGGTTTTTCTCTATATTCTCTGCCTTTGGGTCTTCACCCTCTGCCTCCATCACAACACCATGCTCAGTGAAATCACTCCACTGTTTAGGCAATCAGATGCAATGTCCCAAAACTTAGACACTTTGATGTACTTCATAGCTAGGACTGATTCAGGAGTATTGGTGGTTTCCACTTTTTCTCCATTCTGTACGAGCTTATCCTCGAGCTGATTTGGTTTGGGTACTCCACTTGGTGTACCTTTATTGCCTTATCCTATGGTTGAATTATGTTTGAAAGATGGTGCATATCTGATACGGTTGTGTTGCCTCTTCGTCTTCAGAGCTGGAGTCTATACAACAAATTGTGACCAATATAGTTGTAGTTGCACCATATTACTAATAGATGATCTCAATCCTCTAAGATATATTGCTACTGTGTACTCCTTTGGTTGCACAATTTATATTTCAACATGAGTTGATCAAATTTTGCTGTGTATTACGCAGAATAATCTTTGACACAGGTGGTAAAATCTTATGAACATATCCTGCCGATAATGCAGGGGACCCTTTTTATCTTAAATCATGTAGTGATTTTATTTTATTTTTCTTGATGTTGGTATAAGCGCTTTAAGTTTTCCCTACCTAGAGATGTGTCATTCTTCAACTTATTGGCGGCTAGCTTTACTATTTTATCTGATGGGGTGCCTTTGTACTGAAATGCATGTTTCATTGTCTGCAGTAACTCGATGAATTCTTCTAGATCCATGCAAACGTCAAAATTCGGCAAGTCATTCTTCACTATAAAATCCAGAGTTATCCTCTGATATTTCATGCTTAATTGTCGAGGTATTAGTCCTTCATTACTGAAAATTTTCTGATAGAGGGGATTTACCTCCTTCTTTCTTTCTGAAAAGTCTTCATTGTTGCTATGGGTAATTTCATTGGGTTGTTTCCTCTCAAACCCGACAAGCTTCTATTACAATTTAAGATATTTCCGCTGCATATCCTCCATGGTATGTTTCTGGACACCTTGTTGAGGGGTTTTTTGTGGCAACTTGACATTCTTTTGTCGTGATCATGTTTTGATGGGTGTAGGGTTGTAGATAAAAGGTTAGTCGAAGTGTAATATTTTATTGTTAGGTGTTGGGGCAGATTTTTAGTCGAGGTAGGAAGGTTGAATTCTAAAACTTTAGGATTAAGGCTAGGAATTGCGGTATGATTGATTTGGGTATGGTGAAGTTTTTTTTCTAGAATTTTAGATTGGGACAAGAGAGACTAAACGTTAAAAATCTAGGGCTTGTATGACTATTATACAAGATGATACCGTTCTAGGGCTCCTAAAAGGTGTTTGGGAATGAGATTTAGTGGGGAAGCTATTGTAGAATAGCAAGAGAATAAAAATATGAGCAATTGGTGAGGGTTCGAAGGGATTAGAAATGTTCAGGATTGAAATCTTCTATTGGACAGCAGGTTGGTGAGATTTTGATGACTGTCCGACCGAAAATAGAAGGTGAATGGCGAAATGGTGAGATGCGCAAGGCGGATCCACCACATGTTCCTGAGAAAGATGCATGTACTTCAATTCTAAAAGTAAAGGATATAACACTCCTAAGAGCTTAAAACAGAGAATAAAGTCTCCAAAACACAAACTCAATAATAATAATCCCCTAAAATAACAAAAACCCGCACATAAATAGGTCCCTAATAACAAGAACTCTAATTTAAAAAATAAAATTTGAAAGGAAAATGAAAAAAAAAAAATGCAAAATATGCGTTTTCCCCACCGCAATCTCAGCTTCCCACAATTCCGCGTTCCACAAGATTCCGCGATTCCACGGATCGCGTAACCAAAGTTTTATGTCATGTTGCCATTGTTTTTTTTTTAATTTTCTACACGCTTTTATGAGAGATGGCTTTTTAGTGGCTTCATTGGTAAAGTGGTGGTTCATTTGCTCGTGGAAGTTGCTTTCCTTGCACATCAAAAAAAAAAAAAAATAATGGAAATACTTAGATTGTCATTTTTGGCGTCGATAAAGAATGAGAAAGATCACTAGTCACCAAAGAGATGGAATTTTTGACATTTAATACTTAGGCAAAAGTGTGTAGGATGTTGAGAAATATACAAGAGAGGAGCAATAGCCTAATTTTTTAAGCCTAGAGTTGGGGATTTTCAAATTTATCTATTTCTTCAGGCACAATGGTGCATGAGCGGTCATCCATAAAGATGCGTGAACGTAATCATTATTTTTCTATCTTTTAATTTTTGATATTATAATCTTCAAATTTACGATTAAAACTGTCCATTCTCATTGAAATCATTAAAATAATGGCACATGGGATTTCATGAAATTTAAAGAGCTTGATCGGCAATCATATCCATTAAAAGTTTCACAATGGATGGTTCTCCTTGGATGAGAGAATTGCATTTATTTGGTATAAATTATTCCATTTTTTTTGGAATTATATGCCTGGAAGTGTTTTTTTTTATGGTTTTTTTAGTGAAAGATATGTGTAAAATTAATTCTCTAAGTGGGGTTTTCTATGTATATCCTAGTTTCTTTTTCAAGCTTGATGAATGATTTAATCACTCTGAAGCTGAATAAGTAGTTTTCTTGTGTTAAATGATTAACCATGGGCGTGATTTTGAATTTAAAAACTCCATGAGGCAGTATAAAAAAAGTAATATTGTGAGAACTATATTTTTTTCCTTGGATGAAAGTTGCCTCTTATTAGTGGATCTATTGTTTGGACATGAAGAGATGGAAAAATGGCTTCTGAGAAGAGGAATTTGATTTTTAAACAATATGTATTTCTTCATCGTGAGCTTTTACCATAGAAAACTTATGCAACATTTAGTTCACAAGTTTATTATTATTATTGTTATTGTTATTTGATTGTTAGTTAATGGTCTATCTTTTTTCATTTTTGTTTTGTTTTCAATCTGATGCCAATTGTTACAAATTTGTACCAGGTGCACGAGAGCTTGCAAAGAATACGTGAAAGAAAGCTAGTTAATTTCATAGAATGGGGACCTGCAAGCATTCAGGTATCTTAAAACACTGATCAAGCAAATAATGGCTTATTTAAGCTGATGTTTCCTCAGAATGCGTATTGTCTTTTAAACTTCAGGTTGCTTTGTCCAGAAAATCTCCATATGTTCAAACTACTCATAGGGTATGTCTGATTTAATTTTTTTGCATCCTTTCTGGGTGTCAATATCAATAGATTTCGATTATGAACAGTCGCCTATTCCCTTTTCTTCTGATGGCATCAGTGGCTTATAGGCTTAATTCTAATTATAGGTTAGTGGTTTAATGCTTGCAAACCATACTAGCATACGGCACCTATTCAGCAGGTGTCTGGGCCAGTATGAAAAACTAAGGAAGAAACAAGCCTTCTTGGACAACTATCGGAAGTTCCCAATGTTTGCAGTAAGTCGTTTGTTTATCCATTTTTTTTAAAAATTTGTTGTTGAAATATATATATATATATATATAATCTGTACTAGTTTTTCTATGGCTTTATTATCTCTGTTTACTTCTATATGCTAATTAGAACCAATTTTTTGGTCTTCGGCCTCCATTTATGTCAGTAATATTTGTTATTTTGTTTATATTATTTGTTGCTGCCTTGCTATATGCCATGCCGGTGGTGGCTATAGACAAAATAATGGTTTAAGACGGGGCTGTAACAAATTTCCTGGTCCTTTTGTCGTGCATTATGGAATTCGCTTGGGGATGATCAGCAATATTACATTTATCAAGACTTCTTAAGATTCATTCCTTCTTTGAAGAATATGTGCCATGCAGAGCTTCCGGGGTGCTATGACGGCTTTGGAATGACTTAAATAAGGTTGCTTAAGGCCATCATATTTTTATTATTTTTCAGACAGCAAAGATTTTTAGATATTTTGTTCTAGTAAAGTAGGATACAAGACTAAGTTGGATACTGATAGGGGCTATTCTTTGCTGTTTGGTATAAATATTTGTTCCAAACCGGTGGTTCAGTGTAGCTTCTTGACCATGTAATTTGATGTGGCACAAGGAGCTTGAGGAAGATTTGGACCAACCACAAGAGCACAAAATAAAATGGAAATTTTTTCCAAGCAAGGTATTATGACTAGGCGTAGGATAAAGAAATTTATTTAGAAATTGCATCTTTGAATGTTGCTTAATGCTTTTAAGAGATTATGTATTTATAATTTGCAATTTATTAACATTTCAAAATATTTGGAATTTAACTTTTAAAATTTAAATTTGCTAATTCAAAATTTTGAATATTTCAAGTTTAAATTTTCAAATATAAAGGGAAAGTTATGTGAATTTATGGGAGGAATGATTATTTGATTTAAATTAAATTAAATAACCAGTTTTTGAAGTCAAGGGACGGGCTATCACTCCTTTAAAGTGTTTGTTAAATTAGGGTAACCACCACTTCATTCTCTTCCTACTATTTGACCACCCCTTTCTTGTTCTTTCTCTTTGATTTTCAAATTTATTTTGACTTAAGAAGACTAAATATTTTAGTTAAAATAAAAAGTGCGAGTTTATGTGCTTTTGATAAAATTTTTGATACAATTAGGACAAGCTCTTTGTGGGTTAGTAAAAGATGAATGGAAGAACAACTCAACAAAAAATACAAATAAAGTTTGATAAAAAAATTGTATATCTATCATTCATCAAAACTCACAACATGAAAAAATTACAAAAGCCTTAAATGAAGAGTTCAACCAACAAAAATCTCTCAAAAGATTACAACTTCAAAAATTTATCAAGAAAGCATATGCTCTGGAGAAGAAATTAGAAAAAGAGCTGAGTTACATTAGATCTGAAATGGATGAGTGATTTTTCTCTTCTTTGGAGGGGCGATTCGAGCAGAGACTCATGACCCTTGAAGATGTGATGAAGATACATTTCATGCAAAATTTGCTACACGTGTCGCGGGATCGAGTGACGATGTCCGAAAAGGATGCAAGAAATGACAACTAGAAAGATTCACATGACATCAAGGCGGCGTTGTTGCTTTAGGTGGATTATGAGCTGCAGTGTCAAGCAAATGCATTACGATCGAACTTGAGTTGCAGCACTTAGAAATGAATAACAGATGGTTGGAACAAACATATGCATGCAGAATCGAGCGAAGGAGTCAGGAGTGGACTTGAGTGACAATATCTGGAGGGAATTTGATGACATCTTGAGGTTTGGGAGCGATAGCTTCCAGAACTGGACGACATGTGTTCGAGTCTAGAGAATAACATTTTGAAGAATATCAGCCTAGAATGTGGAACCACAGTCGGTGGGACTCCGACTGATGGTTTTCTCCAACCACACCAGTGCCTTTGGCTACGACAACTTTTTGGGCAGAAGGCAGTTTAGGAGTAATGATGAGAACAAGATAGGTGGAGAGGAGTAGATGAGTTTGTAAGAGACTGATTTCGACACTGTAGAGTATTCAAGAGGGATACAAGATGGTAGTGCTTTACGGTGACCGCAATTTATACAAGACATTGGTGATATTTGAAGACTATGATGTGGGCGATTCAGGACGTAGGGTTGAGATTCTTGTTCGAGGTGCATAGCATGAAAGATATATCTATTACAGAGTTGGCAGAGATTTTGGAGATTGATGAGCCACTGGATGAGTTGTTTGAGTGGTTATATTCTCCAGGATTGACTTGAAGTGAGGGTACCATCAGATTCGAATGCGGTCGAAATATGTACACAAGACAACATTTCAAGACAGTGAGGGTCACTGCAAGTTTTTAATTAGCAAAGGATTGTCAGATAATGATGTACCGTAGGAACCATATGCTTGATCCAACAACAGTTTTTCGCGCCTTGAAGAAACTTTCTTTTTTGGGAGGGGAGTATTGTTATGCTGGTCCTTGAGGGTAATTTAGTATTTTGTGCACCTAAGGGTAATCCAATCACTTGCTATTTATTATTGTTTAGTAAAAGTAGGGCTAATATGTTTAGGTTTAGGGTTATGAATGAGCTTGTTGTCTTGAGTCATAGGGTTAGGGTTTGGGAGAGACTTATGTTGTGAATCAAATGTGTGATGTTTTTTTTCATAAATCCCATGTTTTAATTTCTTATTATGATGATTTTATGTTTGTGGAAGATATTTTTGCTATGTTTACATGATAAATGTGTTGAGCGCACTTGGAGGAGTTAAAGAGGACAAAATGGCTAAAAGACCAATAGTGCACTTGTGCCAAAGAGAGTCACACTCGTGCCAAAGGGAGGTACACCCATATCGCCTTCTTAGGTTGGATGCACACCCACTCTCAGGAAAAACACGCCTGTGTCACCTCTCTATCGAGGATATCGCGTTGCCTGTTGACCTCAATTTTCGTGAGGTCTAGTATTCCTCGTAGGAGTTAGGATCTAGTCTTAGGGGTCTTCCTGCGACTATCTTAGAACCTTAGAAGTGTTGCCCGCCTCGTTTTAGTTCGACCTATTTCCGTCCTCTTTTGGAGGTTTTGCGTGTGTGGTATTGACTTCTAACACTTAGAAGGATGAAACCGACATGAGGAAGCCCAAAATGGATTCCTATAGGACCTTTCCGAGCCTTATGTTGAACTTCTGCACAATTCGCACTCCTGCGCGCACCAGCTTCGAAATTCGGAGAGTCGACGTGTCCGATCTCCGCAATTCACATTGCCTGCACCGTTATTTGCCGAGGGCTCGAGTTAACCACTTGTGACGATCGATCGCGGGTCGAATTTTTGTGAAATTTGAATTTCTACGCGTTTTGTCCCAATTGTCGACGACGTCGTCCGAGCGACCCCGGATGACGAAACGGACTGCGCC